GCTAATAACGCATCAGTTTCTTTTGTTGAGCTTGGTGCTCGATAAACACAGCCTATGAGAAGTTTGTACTTATCTCCATGTAAGACAACCCAGAGTGAGTCAGGTACATTATTCATTGTTTCATCTTCCACCTTACTGACTACAAATGAGTTATGTATATATATGAGACATCCTCCACCACGCTTGCAATCTCTGTTTGCACGGTGTACAGTGTAATCATCGATACCTATATGCACATCAAGTACAGAGGATGAGCACCATGACTCAGTAATCAGAGCTACAGTAGGCTTGGCGACTAATAATAATGTCCTTAGTTCAGATATCTTATTGATTAAGGAACGTGCATTAATTAGCAATATCGTGAATAAGTCACGGGATACTACAAACTGGCTTAAAATGTCACCATAACCTAAATCTATTTGTGCGTCAGCACCGCAAGAATTTATGAATGAAAAGGAGGTCGGACTGGGTGTCTGTACATCGCGGTTGGTGTGCAATGAGGTGGTCCTAGGTGCCATGGGTCGTACCAGTGATTCGGGACACCTGGAAAATTTACCATGTGTTCCTGGATATAAGGGTAGTACAGGTTGGGCCTAGGTTGACGGTTAAAAGGCATAGCATCAAAAGGTCTACCCATCCAACTGCTATTCGTCATACCGGTATACACCTTCGGGTTGTTTTTATAACTTAAAGGGAATTGTGAAGGAAGGTGCTTTGGCTGCAAGACTTTAGGAGTCTTGGAGCCTGACTTTCTATAAGGTGGAGCATGCGGAACACCTCCAGATATACTTATGTTTCGAGAGGAGTTTTTCGTAACAAGTGATGGTTTGTTGGCATTCTTACTCTCAGCAGGCTTATTGAATACAAAGTATTCTTCCCCATCATTAGTCTCAACCCTGCGAAATTTGTTCATCGTGGTGAGGTTACTACGTTTGGGGGGAAATTTCTTAGAACAACTTGCAGAAGTTCTAGTCATTTTAACATCTTTCGATGAGGCTTTATTTACAGGGGTACTGGTATCTAAATCAGTTCCTAGTTCCATTGGCAGGTGTGGTTGTTGTGTAGTTTGCTGAATGCTAGTTTCAGCACTAGGTGTCTGTTGCTGTGCACGATCCTTATTTGGTAAATCAAAGCTAGAGGAGGTGACCAGGTTATTACTAATTATTCTGCGCTGACACGGTGTTTTATCCTGAGCTACGGTTATAGACTTATAACTGCTATTCAGTCTTAAGTGATCCTGACATTTAGTAAACTTACTAGCATCAAGGGAATTACTGAATTTAAAAATGATTGGGCAATTAGCCTGGTTAGACTTTTTACGAAGTCGTTTGCATTCACATGGAACACTAGCCATGCCGCAACAAATCAGGATTTTGTGTCTTACAGTTTTCAGGGGCAGAGAATCTGGGACGTTGTAAACTATAGCTTGGTGAGAAGAGGTTATACGCTTCATCACCTCCGTAGCCAAGCAGTCAATCAGATTTTCAGCTTTATTTAGGTTGTCTGGAGATATTTTAGGATGCCTTTCTAAAAGACAGGCTATTGGGTCTAAATTCAAAAGCTTATTTTGAGTTACATCCAGTAAACACTTAACCTGGCCAATATCAGAACGGCTCTCCGTGGTATTTGAGATTGGCAGTGACATACTATCAAACTGATCTAATTTTTTCTGAATTTCACTTACTTGCCTCTGCATATCTTTCAAAAGGAGGTTTAGTTTACAGAACTCAGAGTTCTCTAACAGAACATCTTTCACCTGTATCACAGGAGTGAGATCTGCACTCAAACCATTTTGAGAGCTAGTAGTTGATACTGTATTACCAGTCGGTAATAGTTGGGTTAAAGCAAATAACCGTGAATTGATCATTCAGTCTTCACCTTTATTGATAGCTTAATTCCACACCGTATTTTCGGTACGATTATTGAATTTTCAGCAGGCGATATCAGTAGCCCAAATTTCGCGGATGTGCGTCGGCAGGGTATTGAACCCCGGACCATGCGCATAGTCGGTGAGAGTCATAACCTTTGTGCCATGTTTTTGTTGTATTTATAGTAACCGACTGTAAATCGTACGGCCAAACTGCTACATAATCAACCAGCCATATTGGTGAACTAGTAAATCTCTGATCTAACATCTCTTTTACCACGGCTTGTATTGAAATCGAGTTAGTTATTATAGGCATAAAATAGTATCCGGAGTTCCTGAGAGTTGACTTCTGGCTAAAGCGAATTGCCCTGGTGCGGTTATTCGCATATGATAACTAGTATTCGACTTCTACTTTGATATTTCTAAAGTATTCGATTAGGTTGAGCATTTGCTGCTGATACATAAGCTGAATTCCTTGAGAAAACGTGACCCACTACTGAGATGGCCTAATTCATTCCTTAACAACAGGTTCTGAATAGTTAGACTTGGACCTGTGATTTCGAAACCTAAATCAATCACATCTGGTTTAGTTCGAGGTAGCAAAGTAAGAGCCAGCTTATTTATAGTTTATACGAACAAAATATGCGCATGGTAAACAATTAACCTTAACAGATGACCTAAGAGTAGCTTGTTATTCCACTGTGTTAATCTAGATTACCTCTAGAATGTTGTGTAGAATAAATTGGCTGCGTGGCCATCTTTATGGAATATACAATCGAACCTAAATAAATGTGGCTGGAATTGCTTCCGTGCGCCTTCAATCGAAGTAAAATTAACGATTCAGTCTGACAACCTACCCAGACTCCGAAGTGTCATTGACTTAGGCCTGAGGTACTGCAGTCACCTACCAATTTTTTGGCAAGTTGGTATGGTCCTGCCTAAACAGAAACAATTATATTGTATCAGAATTCATTTTGAGTGAATGGATAGTAAGCGTATCGAAGAAGTTCTTCGTCTCAACCAAGGTGTATTGCTGAAAGACTTTTAATCACTATCACTTCAAAGGGGAATGAGGAAGAACAAGCCATGATACTTTGCGTGTAACATAATATAAATAGGTGGAATATGTGGCGGAAGAAACATGGAAACGAAATCTGCAGAGTTGCAGAGAGCGATGAGAAGAATTGGACCTAAAAGAGAAATCTTTTGAAATGCTGAAAAGGTGATTATGCAATGGAAAAAACATGATTTGGAAACTAGCTACAATGGCTGAACCAAACAAGTGGACAGAAATACAGCAATAATTAAGTAATTGAATAAGGATGCAATGCTGTTTCAGGGTAGAAGCTAATTTAGTTGAAAATTATTGCAACGACATTTCACTAAGGTGTTGATTTAACTGTCCGATGAAGAGCGGGAAAGTTTTATAGACTACACTGATTCTTTTTCAAGAAGAAGTCATGATGCTGCAAGTCACGAACCCGTAAACAGTCCTAGAGTAGCTATTATTTACATACGTTCCCTTTCCATACTAGAGAAATAAGTTTTCAGCATGAATAACTCCTCTTCGAATTCAAGTATCGTCGTCAGGTCCTAATGAAAAACAAATTTTCAGTGTATTCTGATCAGTATTTAGTACACATATATTGTAAATACCATTTATGTCAATAATTTTGTTTCGACAGGAAAATTAGTGTCTTTGAAGTTGACTTTATGAGGTATGAATTGCCGTAAGTAGCTTATGCGCAGTCGAAATTGAACAAAGACCCCCACTTTTCTCTAAAATTTACAGAAGGCGACAGCACACAAGTTTTGAATACATTGGGACGAGCATTAGAATGAAAAAATTAACTGACACCTTCCACGTGAGAAGTTGATGAATCTGAACTTTTAACTACCATTATACCATGTGAGCAAAAGTGACCTATTTTTGACTTAGTATATCTTAAATAATAATAATAATAATAATAATAATAGTATATTCTCATTTTGTACATGAGAGACGCCAGTTTACAGGCATCATCAATATGATAAATTACATATACGATTAGCAATCATAATTAATAATAATGTTTTAATAAAGTACACATTTTTTCCTACTTGTGTAGGACACACCAAATATACAGGCATGGATAAGCATAAATTAAATTTCATAAATTCGGTTTATGGTTAAGTTACATGGTTGCTGGCGTTTTTGTTTTAATAATAATTATAATAATGTATATTCTCATATAAACATATAAATTTACATGAAAATGCATGCCATTTTTTTAGGTCTGTGGGAACAATATGATAACCAGTCATTCAATGGAGCACATCATGAAATATAGGAATATTGACTTCGCATTAACAAAAAAACCCAAGTAAGTTTCGGATGGATTAAAAATACTTGGGAAAAAATAAAGCTTGAAGTTATTCCACAATATAACAAGTCATTCAATGGAGCACATCATGAAATATAGGAATGTTGTCTTCGCATTAACAAAAAAACCCAAGTAAGTTTTGGATGGATTAAAAATACTTGGGAAAAAATAAAGCTTGAAGTAATTCCTCAATATAACCTGGGTGTGTACAAATCCGAATCTCATTTTTGATTTGATTTATATCCAAATTGGGTAATAAGGAAGCTATTTTTACAGATACGATCAGTTATGTTATAAGCTACAATCGTGAAGTTGTATTACAAATTGATACTTTTCCATTGGTATAAGAGTATATTCCACAAATGTAATCCAGGTTGCGTCGTGGAGAAAGTTAATTCGTTATTAACCAGGCAACTGAAAGATACGGGACCAATAATGTTTGCAGATCATTTGTCATTGTAAATGGTCAAATATCCACATTATTCATTCTCATTCAAAAAGTCAAATGGAAGCTGAAATGGTGAGAGAAAAAAGAAGACAAACAACAGCAACGCAAAAGAAAGCAACGGGAGTCCTTAAGGAGTGATTAATAAATATACACATATATATTCTCTTTAGTAACTGTGGTTATTTTGGTACACAAACTAACTAGTCCCGTTATGCTAACTTTTATATTATGTGTGAACTAATATTACTGTCCTGTGTAGAAATGTTAATCATCTAGTTCCAATAATATTAAAATTTATAATTGTAGTTTGCTGTAACTACACGTTTAAACAACTTAAAATATCTATGTAGGGTGAAAAAGAGGGTGTAAGAGTTAGACGTATAAGTGCATTGTCATCTTTGAGCAGTCTGGTGACTGAGGAGATGAACACTGGAAGTGTGTTTGCATCGCGCACATTAGCTGGTAGTCTATTCCAAATGACTGAAAACTTATTTAAGAAGAAGTTGTACCGCACGTAAGTCTGACAGTGCTCTATAGCAGCTAGGTTGTGATGATTTCTAAGATTGTAACTGACGACAGCGGTAGGTTTAGTTAATGGCTCGGAGGAATGCAAGAGAAGATTAGTTAGCTTATAGTAAAAGATTAGGTTTAGCTTAAGGCGTCTTTTCCAGAGGGGTTCTAATCTTAGTCTTACGCATCTCTCATGGTATTCCAGACTACTTTCTAAACCAAGAGTTCTTGAGGTAAACTGCCGTTGCACTCCCTCTAATTTAAGCTTGTCATTTTGTCTTAGTCCGCTAAGAATAAACGGGCAGTATTCTAAGATAGGTCGGACACATACTTTGTATAATAAAACCCTAGTTTCACAACAAAAGAAATTGCGTGTTATGCATCCTATCAGCCTACGCGTTTTACGTCTGGCATAATCAGTCTGTTCAGCGAACGTTAGGTTACTAGAGTATCTAATACCGAGATCTACGACTGAATTGAGCTTAGCTAGTTTTCGCCCATTTATTTCAAGGTTTAGATCAAGCTTACTGTTGCCGATACAAATCCAGCCGCATTTGTCAATGTTAAAATTTAGGCAGGATTCAGCACACCACGTTGCAAGGCTACTTAGTTCAAGATGTATTTTATCTACCATATCGCTTAATTCATGAGTGTAGCAGGAGTAGACGACTTTGAGGTCGTCAGCATATAGGAATGGTTTACCTGAGGTGAAGCACTTGCAAATGCTGTTAATGTAAACTGTGAATAAAAGTGGACCTAGGACACTACCTTGCACGACCCCACTTGAGATTTGCCTAGGGTGAGACAATACAGATCCAACTTTGGTTATTTGTACCCTGTTGCTTAGAAATGATTTTAACCAGTTCAGTAATGGGTTGCGAATTCCACAAGAGTACAGCTTCTCAAAGAGAATACTGTGAGATACCATGTCAAATGCCCTAGATATATCGAAGTATAGAACAACGACTAGCTTACGTGCTTCGCGATTACTAGTGATGCAGTTGAAAAAGTCGAAGTGGCAAGTAACGCAGGATCTATTTTTGAGAAATCCGTGTTGAGACCTTGTAACAAGATCCTCCCTAATTAGGTAGTCTGACAATTGATCCTTTACAACTTTCTCCATGATTCGTGAGATAACTGGGGTTATATTTATGGGTCTGTAATTGCGGACGTTTGCCCTATCACCAGATTTGTAATGTGGAATTATGAAGCTAGTTTTCCACTCACTAGGGTAAGTGCCAGTGTCCATAGATATTGAGAAGAATTTAAGAAGTAACAGGGGTATATCACACCCACTGTTTTTGAAAATTATCGAAGCGAGGCCATCCGGTCCCGTACTAGTGGAAGGTTTAAGGCTTTTAATTGCTTGTACTATTAGTTGATTAGTGAACACAATGCTTTCAAGGGAAGAGATAGTAAGGGGAGCGGTTTCACCAGGCATATGTGTTTCTAAACTAAAGTTTGCAAACCAATCACTGAAAGTTCACAGATAGTGGCAGGTTCATTGTAGATTACTTTGTCGTGAAGTAAGTATGGGATTTCCCTCGCTGACTGCATTCGTTTTTTAAGAAGTGCCGTTAAGTTATAAACTTTGGAGGTACTTTCAAGTGCCGTTAACTCTTCGTCGAGGTCCTTTTGAGAACGTAGGCGCTTGATAGATTCAAGAGACTCGTGGATTGAGAGCAATAGTGATATGTCCTTAGTGGAATAGTACTGTTTCTTCAGTTTCCTTAACTTATTACGGTGTGCCCTTGGAATATATTCAGTTCGGTGTCTACTTAATTTCACTATTTTCTTTGGGGCAACTGTATCTAGACAAAGGGTAACATTCCTGTAAAACAGGGTTACTAAGGCCTCCAGGGAGTCAGTGGTAAAATAGTCATCCCATTGACAGAGTCGAATAAGTTCTTGGACTAATCCCCAGTCTGTATATTTGTAACTACGACATATTGTGCTTCCTGAGTCTTGTTTGTTTCCTGTATTTAGTGGTGAGAAAGGCAGAGAGCAGAGTACCATTCTATGGTCACTACTGGAAAATCTATTACCAACATAAGTGGATACTGGGATTGTGTCATGACAAAAAACAAGGTCCAAAATGTTGTCACCACGAGTAGGTGTCTGGACGTGTTGTTGCCATCCATAACAGTCTATAGTGGCAAGTAATTCGTCGAAGCGTTGGGGGCCGGAACTAGTTAGCCAATTGACTTCTGGAAGATTGAAGTCCCCTGCAATTATTTTGTAATTAGCACTAAACGAGGATGCATGTGCAAACGATTTAGCTAATAACGCATCAGTTTCTTTTGTTGCGCTTGGTGCTCGATAAACACAGCCTATGAGAAGTTTGTACTTATCTCCATGTAAGACAACCCAGAGTGAGTCAGGTACATTATTCATTGTTTCATCTTCCACCTTACTGACTACAAATGAGTTATGTATATATATGAGACATCCTCCACCACGCTTGCAATCTCTGTTTGCACGGTGTACAGTGTAATCATCGATACCTATATGCACATCAAGTACTGAGGATGAGCACCATGACTCAGTAATCAGAGCTACAGTAGGCTTGGCGACTAATAATAATGTCCTTAGTTCAGATATCTTATTGATTAAGGAGCGTGCATTAATTAGCAATATCGTGAATAAGTCACGGGATACTACAAACTGGCTTAAAATGTCACCATAACCTAAATCTATTTGTGCGTCAGCACCGCAAGAATTTATGAATGAAAAGGAGGTCGGACTGGGTGTCTGCACATCGGAGTTGGTGTGCAATGAGGTGGTCCTAGGTGCCATGGGTCGTACCAGTGATTCAGGACACCTGGAAAATTTACCATGTGTTCCTGGATATAAGGGTAGTACAGGTTGGGCCTAGGTTGGCGGTTAAAAGGCATAGCATCAGAAGGTCTACCCATCCAACTGCTATTCGTCATACCGGTGTACACCTTCGGGTTGTTTTTATAACTTAAAGGGAATTGTGAAGGAAGGTGCTTTGGCTGCAAGACTTTAGGAGTCTTGGAGCCTGACTTTCTATAAGGTGGAGCATGCGGAACACCTCCAGATGTACTTATGTTTCGAGAGGAGTTTTTCGTAACAAGTGATGGTTTGTTGGCATTCTTACTCTCAGCAGGCTTATTGAATACAAAGTATTCTTCCCCATCATTAGTCTCAACCCTGCGAAATTTGTTCATCGTGGTGAGGTTACTACGTTTGGGGGGAAATTTCTTAGAACAACTTGCAGAAGTTCTAGTCATTTTAACATCTTTCGATGAGGCTTTGTTTACAGGGGTACTGGTATCTAAATCAGTTCCTAGTTCCATTGGCAGGTGTGGTTGTTGTGTAGTTTGCTGAATGCTAGTTTCAGCACTAGGTGTCTGTTGCTGTGCACGATCCTTATTTGGTAAATCAAAGCTAGAGCTAGAGGAGGTGACCAGGTTATTACTACGCATTATTCTGCGCTGACACGGTGTTTTATCCTGAGCTACGGTTATAGACTTATAACTGCTATTCAGTCTTAAGTGATCCTGACATTTAGTAAACTTACTCACTGCCTTCACGTGGCGGAGGTGTTTTTCACCAAAGTGAGAGGGCAAAAGCGGATACCCGGCGCTCTTCACCGGGTTGACTGTCCATTGGATGACAGTCTAGGGGAGATGGCTAAATCCTGATTCCAAACCTCCAACGACTGGCGTATGAAGCTCACCGGCAGACGTTTGGACAAAGGGCTTATTGGATGCCCTGGATGACTGGCCCCATTCAAAAAGGCGAATGAACCGGACTCCGGTCACCGGCTGCCAATGGATAGTGGACTCCTTACTCCACTCCTACTGCCTTGTAGGTCACACTTGGCTGTGTAAAGGCTAGAGCTGCACTCTCAAACAAAAGGCCGAGCGATGCTGGGGACATCACTTGTACCAAATTCCCATGAAACTTCATGGTTCATGAAGCCGGCTCATCCTCCCGTAGGAGATAGCCGAAGTAAAGTAAAAGTAAGTAAGTAACTTACTAGCATCAAGGGAATTACTGAATTTAAAAATGATTGGGCAATTAGCCTGGTTAGACTTTTTACGAAGTCGTTTGCATTCACATGGAACACTAGCCATGCCGCAACAAATCAGGATTTTGTGTCTTACAGTTTTCAGGGGCAGAGAGTCTGGGACGTTGTAAACTATAGCTTGGTGAGAAGAGGTTATACGCTTCATCACCTCCGTAGCCAAGCAGTCAATCAGATTTTCAGCTTTATTTAGGTTGTCTGGAGATATTTTAGGATGCCTTTCTAAAAGACAGGCTATTGGGTCTAAATTCAAAAGCTTATTTTGAGTTACATCCAGTAAAGACTTAACCTGGCCAATATCAGAACGGCTCTCCGTGGTATTTGAGATTGGCAGTGACATACTATCAAACTGATCTAATTTTTTCTGAATTTCACTTACTTGCCTCTGCATATCTTTCAAAAGGAGGTTTAGTTTACAGAACTCAGAGTTCTCTAACAGAACATCTTTCACCTGTATCACAGGAGTGAGATCTGCACTCAAACCATTTTGAGAGCTAGTAGTTGATACTGTATTACGAGGCGGTAATGCAGTTATAACCGAATTTAAGCCACTATCTAAAACAATTGTGTTTCTACGAACACGTTTTTTAGAGATTTGGACCATAATTTCAAGAATTATATGACAATAAGCAGTAAATAAATTTCAGAGCAAACACGTGCAAAAATGTCACCAATTTCGAACGTACCGCCAGAACAAATGATGATTGCATCAATGACGTTTTTCTGCCCTTGTTTCCTTTCATGATATCACAAAGAGGCAGCTGCCTGAAGGTGATAAAATCTCAGCGGAACGCAATACAGATGGAATTTACATATGCAGTGGTCAGCGGAGTCCTTATCCTAATAAATGGCATCACTTAAATCCGTATACAATTTCAAATCGAAATTGGAAGTACACAGAGATACGCACTGCAAGAAAAATAACATAATAACAAATAAAATAAGCCAGAAAGGTATAGGTGAGACACCTCTGTCATGGTTAAAGGACAACCTGGCCGACAAAAAATCTCGCACTAGGGTTAACCGAGTCCGATCATCCTGGCACACCTCGGCATCAGGGGTTCCTCAGGGTTCTATCCTAGGACCACTGATGTTTTTGATTTTTATCAATGATCTACCACGCCGTCTGCGCGATAAAGTGTCCGGAGGACTCAGATAGGCTGCAGGAAGACCTACACCCTCTGGAAGACTGGGTGGTGGCCAGTGGAACGACTTTCAACCTGAAGAAGTGCAAAGTAGTGAAGCTGAGCACCTGCAGACTGCAGAATGCAAGTTACACCCTGTGCAATGAAAGCTTGTTTTGCACAATGTCGGAACGCGACTTAGGTCTAGTTCTGACGGAAAAACCGGACACAAACGTAAATTGCACAGGGGATGTAGCGAGGGCATATGCGGTCATACACTTTACGCATAGACAGTTAGGTGCACTCACTCCTGAGCTCTTTCTAATGTTGTACAAAACATACGTCAGGCCACACCTTGAGGTGCATAATATTATTGCACCCCCAATGCTGAGAAGAGACGCCAACCTATTGGAAAGAGTCCAACGACGGAAAACAAAAGGAGTGGTTGGTCTCTGAAACAAACCATATGATGAAAGGCTGAAGAAATTTGGCCTGTTCACACTTAGCTACCGTCGGCTTAGGGGAGATCTGATTACTGCCTACAAAATAACAAATGACCAGAATCACCCAAACAAAGGTGTTCTGCCATTGAGTAGGTATAGGCTCCCACGTGGAAATCCCAGAAGGATAGCTCACCAGAGGGCAAGGACCCGGGTGCGCTCTCACTTCTATTCACGGCGGGTTTGCCGTCCCTGGAATTCCTTACTGGCAGATGTAGCTATGGCACCGTCTTTGGACGCCTTTAAGCGAAGGCTGGACAACCATGCAGTGACACAAGGACTGCATCCAAATGGCCTATCCCCTTAAAATCGCATACACCATTCAGGGTAGACAATTAGACTCGTCGTTTTACTTCTTTACATTCTCTCCCGTCTTACTCTCCTGGCAACTTATTAATATTATAATTATTATTACTATTATTATTATTACCGATATATATATATATATTATTCTTCAAACTTAATCAACTGACTGTCATTACGCTTTCCTATTTCCGTTTCTGTCTCTTAGTCTGAATAACTTCAGTAATTATATCTAATATTAGCATTATTATTATTACTATCTCTTTTCTCTTGTTGACGATACTGGAGGACTAACTGGCGAAAGGATCAACTCCAATCACAGTAGTAACAGTCTTAACACACTTCATACTACAAACCACATATAATTAATCCCAGCACTACTCTCTTTGGAGTCAACCAAAGCTACGACAGTCGAGTGGCGGGAAAAGCTACGCAGAAGTTCACCGAAGATCAGGAACCTATACCTTACAATCAAGAAACGATCACAAAGAAATCATATTGGTGACTTCAATGCCCCATCTCTTAACTTGGTGTCGGGGTACGCCCATGATAGATTTGATCGAAATCTGCTGCATACCATCAGGAAGGCTGGATTCACTGAAAATGTCAGGATGGATACTAGATGGGGCCCTGATGGAAAGTCTTCTAGACTGGATTACGTGCTCACTAGTGACCAGCTACTAGTGGAAAACGTTCAGATCACGACTCCCGTAGATAGTAGTGATCACGCGGTCATAGTATTCGACATAGTCCTCCGCGAGCGCTTACAGTGGGACAATACACAGCCCTATCTGTGTTATAACAAAGCCAATTACACCAAAATGGGAAGACTTCTGTCTGAAGCAAATTGGCCTAAAAAATGGACAGAGCTAACAGTAGAAGAACACTGGAGAGTGGTAAAGGAGATCATTCACCAGGCGGTCTCACACACTGTTCCTTTAGTCACACCAAAAACTAGGAAGCAACGTTCATGGCTAAAAAGGGGGACACAACGACTTCTGCAGGCGAAGCGAAAAGCCTGGTTTGCGTGGCGACGATCGAAGAGTCAACCCGAACATGAAGTGTACCTTGAACTCAGGAATCGATGTAACATACGAGTCCGGACATTTCAGGGAAACCTCGCAAATAAGCTTCTCGTGAACCCCAAAAGCCTATACAGGTTTATGGCCGAAAGAAAACCGACCAACCAGGGAGCATGCAATCTAGTGGGTTCTGATGGGAAATCTCTTACTAATCTTGAAATGGCAGAGACATTCAGCCTAGCCTTTCACAGGCGACTAAACAGTAACGAGGATATTACCCCCACAAAACATCAAGATTACATTGCAAAACCAACGCGCAGAAACCTGCTGGGTACATTTCAAATTACCCCGGCTATGGTACTTGTAAAATTGGGAAAGTTGGCTTCGGGAAAGTCTTCAGGTTGTGATGACATCAGACCATCCGTCCTGAAGCAGTGTTCAGAAAGTCTCTGCCAACCCCTAAGTGATCTGTTCCAACACTCCCTTGATGTAGGGAAACTTCCATGTGAATGGAAACGAGCAATCCTATCCCCCATCTTCAAGGTTGTTGACCGGCATAATGCGACCAGTTACAGACCAGTTGCTCTACTTCCAGTGATATCGAAAATATTGGAGAGTCTCATTGACGACCACATGAGAAAATACTTCGATGGGACTAACCTTCTTCACGAAGCACAGCACGGTTTCAGATGGGGAAGATCCTGCGTGACGAATCTTCTACTAGCTTGGAACGATTGGACACTATCCTGGGACGAAAAGATACCAGCCCACGTGATCTTTTCCGACTTTGCGAAAGCATTCGACACAGTTCACCATGGTCTGCGCCTTCACAAAATAAGCAAGGCGGGTGTTTCTGGAGCACTTCTCGCATGGCTGAAAGATTACTTAGGCGAGAGAGAATTCTGCACCAAAGTCAACCGCATCCGATCATCCTGGCACACCTCGGCATCAGGGGTTCCTCAGGGTTCTATCCTAGGACCACTGATGTTCTTGATTTTGATCAACGACCTTCCCTCCGAACTAAACTGCTCTGCGCTTCTTTACGATGACGACGTAAATATTTGGAGAGCCGCATCGGAATACTCAGATAGACCGCAGGCTGACCTGCAAACTCTGGGAGACTGGGCTCTGTCTAATGGAATTCCTTTCAACCTAAAGAAGTGCAATGTAGTGCAACTTCATTCCGGCAGGTCACAGAGTGTAAATTACAATTTTGGCTGCCAGAACTTGAGTTGTGTTCCATCAGGGCGCGATATAGGTCTTATTCTAACAGAAAATCTAGACACCAGTGGAAATTACTCGAGGGACGTCGCCAAAGCTTACGCAACTTTACACTTCATGCATAGGCAGCTGGGAGCTCTTACTCCCGAACTGTTCTTAAGGTTATAAAAGGCATATGTGAGGCCACACCTTGAGGTGCATAATATCATTACACCTCCGCTACTCAAAAGGGATGCTAACCTTCTAGAAAGTGTCCAGAGACGAGCGACAAAATGGGTGATCGACCTCCGCAACAAATCATATGAGGAACGACTAAAGAAATTAGGTCTTTTCACACTCAGTTACCGTAGGCACAGGGGAGACCTCATCACCGTCTACAAGATCCTAAATGACCAGGCCCACCCAAATAAAAGCATCCTGCCATTAAGCGATTATAGGCTTCCACGAGGTAACCCGCTAAGGATAACACCACAGAGACCAAAGACTCGAGTGCGATCACATTTCTTTTCGCTTCGTGTTTGCCGTCTCTGGAACGCTTTACCGGCGGCCGTGACTACAGCGCCATCTGTGGAGATTTTTAAGCGGAAGCTAGACAATCATGCAGAAATGCAAGGTTTGTGTCTCAATGGCTTATCCTCATAAAATTTGAAACCAAACTGTCAATGAATAAGCGTACTAACTAAATCCCCACGACCTATTCTGCCTTCTCTCACTCTGTCTTTTCCTTATGTCACCTTTATTATTCCACTTATCTCAACCTATATTATCTACACTACAACCTATTATTATTATTATTATTACTATTCTGCTTTTATGACCACACCGAATGACCAAGGGGAGTTAGGTCAAACTCCATTCATGGCAGCAATACAGTCCTAACATACTGCATACTACAAACCACATCTCGACCAATCCCCGCACCACTCCTCCTGGAGTCTACCAGAGCTAAAGCAGTCGAGTGTCGGGACTTACTACGCAGAAGCTCACCGAAGATCTGGAACCTCTACCTCACAATCAAGAAGCGAGCTCAAAGAAATCACTGGTTTATACTAGCTCGTATTCAGGATATTAGATATTGGATAGGACAAAGCTACTTTACGACAGAATGCCCGACAAACATGGAAAGAACACGAAACAATGTGCGCTTCTCTGTGCGTTAACTTGACTGCTGCTATTTCCGATTGCGCGTAGTCCATAATGAAAACCTCTGTTTTAGAAGTATCTTCCATTATTTGATGAAATGAGTCCAATATCCAAACTACATCACGGTTGAATTCCTTTCTAGTCCAAGCGAATAAAACTGGTCGTCCACGACCAAAATTATCCGTCACAACTAATTGGAACAAAGAATACCTGCAGGTTTATACTAGCTCGTAATCAGGATATTGGATATTGGATTGTACATTGTACATTTTCCGCAGGTTTTAAAAATGTCAATTAGATTTCGATATGGGTTGCTTACTGAGTATCGACGAAAAAGCAGCCGTAGAAAGATCAAAACGGATTGATGCTTCCCTCAAAAGTGATGCCGAAAAGATGGCAAGGATAGCAAAGTTATTGTTGCTTGGTGAGATAAATTAATTTCATGACAAGAATTTTTCAGGCGCTGGGGAGTCCGGGAAAAGCACGATACTGAAGCAACTGAAGTATGATTAATGATACCTTTACTTTATTTGTAGAATAATTCATCAGTCTAACTATACGAAGGAGGAATGTTTGCTTTACAAGCCTGTCGTATACAGTAACACAGTTCAGAGTATGATAGCCATTATAAGAGCTATGGGACATCTGTACATAAAGTTCGAAGATGAAGGCAGAATTGTAAGTCATCATTTTTGAAACAAGAAATTCGTTTGTATGGTCTTTGGATATGAATATCATATATTTATCTTAAGTGACGAATTCTCTAGTTCTCGGTTGAAATTAGAACCTAAATAATACGAAACTTCTAATTGTTTGTCATCCCGCAGATGAAAAATGTACTTCTAACTGTTTGGAAACGAACACGATAGGTGGTGTAATAACGGCTGAATTATGCCTAAACGACGCTGTTTTTCCCATTTACCACAACCTTAAGTATTTACTCACTATTATTTAACCACTGATTTTCCTTCTGTTATCAGTATTTAGTCACCACTTTTCTAGCTGCTGTTAGAATATAACTAGAATTTTTCTCATTGCTCTTTGACTACAGAACATCTATTTTTATCAGAAGTTTATGAGGACCCTTAATAAAATGACTTTGAAGCCCCACAACTTTTCCAACAATTCTACACTCAGTAACTTTCGCTAGAAGTTGATCGGTAACTTGTCGAGGTTGCACTGGGTTATTTTTGAAACAGCTTTAGCGAGATTCATTCGTAAAGTTAGGAAAATAAGTGAGGAGAAGAAACAATTATATATATATCACCAAAGATGGGAATAAGAATAACATTATAGATGCCACAATAAAGACGAGGGAATGAATATTCTAATGGGGGTGAAAGAGTAAAATTGTGTTGTGGTTTGTCATTGGAATGAAAGAGGAGTAAACATAAGTAAATCAATTAACCAAATAAACTAAATTGATAGAGATGTTTATGAGGTATGTGGCTTGTAAGGGCTCGGTCCCTTTAATTGCATCAGACACTTTTACTAACAATGGAAATTTCTATTCTTTTGTTATGTTACCAAAAACCTTATACTAATTTTCATTAACTTTTCCAAACATTTGTCACGAAATACTTTCCTGTGAAGTTTCTCAAAATAACAGGAGAGCGGGGGCTAAACGTCATTGCTTTTTGGTAGCATTTTTCACATCTAACTCTTAGGAAAATGATAAATTGTGTAAGCTAGGGGCCTGAAAGAGTGTAGGGATTTTCATTCAAAACACAAATGACCCAAAGTTGAACTGGTATAGAAAACAGATGTCTCTATAAATTTCTCACCACTAGGGTAGCTGCGACTGTAAGCGATTGGAGCTGAAAATAATAAAAGATACTGTTTGATAATTATGATAGTTAGGCTACACTTTTAACTCTCATCACAGATCTCTATAGTACATCCCAATAAAATAGTTTGGTTCCAGGCAGGGAAGTGATTGAAATGATCTTCTGTATTTCTTAGCTGCACAACTACAGTGGATATAACACTTAGTATAATAGGGAAGGAAACATTTCAATGGGAAAACATTGTTTCAACTAAGACTTGCTTAGGCCTTACTGAAAGATACACAACTGTACAAATAAGTATAAACCAGTCATGCAGCAGATGAAGTCTCATAAAACAAATAGTGAAAACTTATAATAATAAACCGTGAAGTAAGAAGACAACTAGAGTTTCATAGAAATCGCAACAAGGCAATGGAACGGGCTGATGTCTGTACGAATCTGTTGGAATTTGGTTAAGTGCGTAGAAAGAATGATATAAACTGAGATTAAATTATAATTAGTTTGGTCTTCCATGGCCAAAAGAAGGGTTAATGTCTGTGTCAACACTTTGTGAACACAGTTCAAGATAGTTAGTTGAAACGCCGACAGTCCCAACTATATGCAGTATGTAGGTACGAAAATCATTAGAAAGATCCATTGGGATATGATAAGTCATATTAAGTGTTTTAATTTGGTCCACTGAGTAGTCGTCATCATCTAAATTGGACAAAGTCGAATTTCGGATAGTTCATTCTCAGGATAAAAGAATTTCTGTGACACGTCCACTAGTTTGGTTAGTTATATGCCGGGTAAAACTGTCTGCATAGCAGCAGTTGGGCTAACAAATACAGATGAATGTAGCAAAACTAGCCACTTTATTTCTACTCTGTCATAAGCACTTATCGACTGCATAAAGTATACTCCGAATAATCCTTGTTAGTCTGTGAAGCGAAATTTCACTTCATAATTCACCAGCTAAAATGTTTTTTTCCTTCACTTTCCCAGTGGAACATTGGGCTCCAAGCTAGAGGCTCGAAGATTCTTTAACAGTGTTGATTTTTACAGGATAGGGTTGCTAGCCCCATGCCCAACCTTTCCTCTTTACCAGTCTCACTACTGGCTTAGAGAGGTAAAGGGGTGCGCCGGCCGGGGCTCGAACCCCGGACCATGTGCATGGTCGTCGAGTGTCTTAACCGCTGTGCCACCGACGCACATCAGCCAAAATACAGCTTAGAAAATAAGTATTTTCTACTTATCGTCCCCGTTTCAGTTATTATTTTAGCTGATGTGTCCATAGGTTTATTCAGAAAACTTAGTGAGCATCCAGAGTCAGACAAGGAATCACGAATGTAAAACAGCTGCTTCATAAATCATTTTGCAAACAAGCCATTCTTGTTTCTATTGTAAGGCATTTAGCAAGACAGATTTTGAAACGAATAGATACGGGACAACAGAAGTGTTAATATCGATCTATGAATGTCTTCTTTCTATGCACAATTCACCTTTTTTCATCTTGTTTAATCAGTAGAAGCTAGAGATAGGTAGTTTTTTATTTGATTTCGTCAGCAATTTATTCCTATTTACATCTTCATCAATAATAGTGTATAGTCATAGTGGCTGTAATGTATATCTAACTTGCTAATTACATCCTTCAAGACCTGTTATAAAAGTTCTGCTGAGCCCATTACAGTTACGTCTGTTTGTCTATGTGTATATTTTCGAACAAAGATGTACATTCCTTGTACATCTGAGGAATAACCGTAATGGTACGAGAGTCAAGAATTGCCATGACTATTTGACATTTAGTTATATGTTGGCTCACATAATTAGCTTTTTTCTACAATTTGTATATTTATGAATACTAATGGCGCGTCCAGACGTATAATGCATTTTCCATTGCCATTCGCACCAAGTACTTTAGAGATAAAATGAAAATATCGTTTCTTCCATATCTTATACTTATTGTGCATACATCCCAAAATTCGAGCTAATCACTGTGCCATTTTACGATATGGAGAATATTATTTGATTTTGTGTTTCATTTGATTAGATGACTCTTATCCGATTGTTTTTCTAATGAATGTAACAGGATGGTAATTTGACTCTAATCACTGGCATCCTCCTTCCCTCGAATCAGGACCAAATACGATATTCTCTCAACTTCTCAGTAACATAGTTCTATACTGGGTGACATTAAGTGGTTAAGTTTGAAGTGTATTTGTGAAGAGAGATACATGATATCAGGCATGTGAAAATTTTGACTGATATGATTGTGAACAATAAACTGTGTTCAAAACGTCATCCTGTAAATGATACTGTCCACCGTGTGATATATATAATAAACAAATTAATGTGGAATGTGTAAATTTTCTCGGCTTTAGATCATTAGGCAAGGTGAACGTTTTCACTAGATAGTGACTACTGGTTCTGGTTATTAAGCACTTATAATACAAATATACAGTGTCTCAGGAAATCTATTTACTACTGGGGCTCGGATTAAACGAATGGTATGCACCTCACTCTAACCAAGTTGGATTCTGCTAACACATTTGAACACCTACTTAACGTTATAAACACATTTTATCCCTCTTTTTTAGACAAATAAATAAATGCAGGCCAAGCTCTCACCTTAATGATGTGCGTCGGTGGCACACTGGTTAGGACTCTCGCCGACAACGCATATGGTCCGGGGTTCGAGCACCCGCCGACGCACACCTGATATCTATGGTCGGCCTGCGAAATCTGGGCTACCGATACCCATGCTGAAAATTCCATACTTGTACCAAAAATACAGTGTGGAATGAAGCTTTAAATCAAAAAAAAAATTTTAGTTGACATAGGAATAGGGTGGAAAGCAGTTAGAAGTGGTCACATTCCATGATGTCTCAGAATGTTGGTTAGATTCCTGTTGGTAGGTTATTCTTTTTTAATTCTATTTTGATTATAGCTTCATTCCACACCGTATTTTTGGTAGAAGTATGGAATTTTCAGCATGCGATATCGGTAGCCCAAATTTTACGGACTGACCACTGATATCAGGTGTGCGTCGGCAGGGGAACGAACTCCAGACCATGTGCATGGTTGGCAAGAGTCCTAACTTCCATGCTACCAACTTATTTGAATTCTAGGCTTTAGGTGGAAAATGTTAAGCCATAAACTGCCAATGTGGTTCCGCAAAGTAAAATTTTCATTGTAAATGAGTTGAGAGGTAAACAGAAGCATAAATGATGAAGATACTTAATGGTACTACAAGAATTATTACATATTGTTCTTTAAGCTTTCGTAAGAAAAGCAATTTGTAGCACCTAGGTTATTCAACACAAAGCTTTCTCAAAATGCAGTTAAAATTCAATTTTTCAGAAGACAACACTGAATTATATCATGAGCATTGACAGCAAGCACAAAAAACATGCATAAAGAGTTGATGATACGAGGAGAATCGCATGTTCCAAAATATCCCTACATTCAATAAAGAACTGATCAGAAAATAAAAGTTTTATTTGCGTAAATACCAAGATTTTGCAGCATACTCAATCGAATTTCAGTATGTAAAATTCAACAGCATGAAAATCTGTAACAAAAACAGAGAGAGGTATCAACATTTATCAACATTATTAAACTGAGAAAGAGTGAAGTGGTTGAACAGACTGTAATTTAGCTTGCATTACACTTTATTGTTAGTAAGTCATTTCGTTATGTTTCCTAGTCTTATTTCATTTAACTGGACAAGAGAAGATTCAGTGCACTACAGTTTAGCCATAGGTACGTTGTTGAGGTGTTAAGTAATGATTTCCCTTTTGAATAAGTAGATTTTATAAGCGAATGCCTTTATGGAAAACTAAAGCAGTACTAAATAGTTTCAAATAAATAACAAGTTCACTTATACTGGAGAGTTCAAAGTTTCGGTAAGTATACTGCTATCCTGTTTTATATGAAGTATTTCTTTGGGAATTATCTACTGTCAATTTCAGATGGTTTAAAGGGTATTCTTCACAATCTCATGGATAGGGTTTGCACTTTTCAGGTGGCAACGATCTGACTCTTTAGTCGAGAACGAAATAAAACAGATTCTTAGTAAGCCACATGTGCAGCTGATAAGGTTTCCAATAGGTAACAAGAACTGTGTGCTGTTTCCTAGTCTCTATAATTACATTATATCCTCTTATTAAGAAAGAAATCCATCCACTTGCCATGAGTAATTAAATATACACCAAAGGATTGATGCATCCCTCTAGCTTATCAAGCACTCACGTTCTGAAAGCTTTTGAAGTATGAAACATGTGAAATCAGTACACCAAAGCATAGTTAATACAATGCAACAGCTTTTATAATTTAACTAAGATATGTGTAGAAGTAAACACTAATTCTTTCTTAGTAATTGTTATTTGCTCAGTTTCCACAAATGGTTAGTTGATTCATAAAGATTTTATTGTTATTCGAGAAAAATCATCCACATGTTTACATCAGGTTTTACAAAGTTAACGTCTTATATACAGTTAAATAATATTCATTGATGTATTTGGATTTCGGTCACCTAATAAATATCAAAAATACAGCAGAAATCCCATTCACACATTTAGAAGACAATAAATTGAACAAAGAAGTAGTTACTGTCAATTAGACCTTTCGACTGCTGTTCTTTACATGGTTACATCGGACGTACAATTAAGCATGTTAACTTTCGGAATTCTGAATGTCATTCTGCAGGTTTAGGTTGGAGATAAATAAAGTCTATTCTTAGTTTTATTTTAATCCACCTTGTAGACGCTGATCATAGGGGTGATGTTTACAGATCTTAATTTAGCTTTACAAGTTCGTCTACTACATCCGACAAAAAAACGTCTGGATTCACCGGGAGAAGCTGAACGTATGTGTTTAGGAGTAAGTAGTACAGCCACTGTCCTAACACTTTCCATCTATAAAAGGATGTGAAAAGCGATGAGTTTTCCCTCCCTTCAATGCCATCTTTAAGTTATTATTATGATTTCAACTACCTTATTATTCAACCTACTTCGCGTCAATTTTAATAAATTGATCACTCATTTATTCTTGTTTTAAAATTTTGTTCGACGTAATCGTCTCTCTAATTTTCACAAATATCTCTACCTTTCAGTCGTGAACTAATTTTCTTGGTCAGCTATCACCTCCTTGACTCACTGACATTGACTAATTATTGTTGAAAAACTCACCACGAATAGATTGGTGAACATTATATATACATATATATGCACATTAGAAAAGAGTCACCGACTAGGATTTAACTGGAAAGTAAATATTTCTTCGTTCAATTTATTACCTTCGGAATATCAGAGACAAAAGAAAACTATTGAGAACAATCCAAATGTTAATTTAGCGTCATCATTTTATTTGAAAACCAATATAATTTTTGACCATATGCAGAAGGCATCTCATAATTTAAATCTTCTCCTGACTAAACTATAAAAAAATCTTAATTTGTCGAATTTGTATTGATGGATTATGAGTTCTTGAGAGAGATAAAACTATGAAATCTAGTTTATATTCTAATTCAGTTCAGCAACTAGTTAGTATTTCCGTTCTTAATAATAAAGTTCTTTCAAACAAACTTCAACGTAAGATTACCAATACGTCATTTCTAAAGTGCCAGTCCACTTAGTGGAGTGTACCTTATCAATAGTCATTGATTTTATATGCATTTGAGCAGGATGACGCACGACTTTTATTTTCATGTGCTCATGAAGCTGAAGAAGGTTATTTATCTACAGAAGTGTATACAGCTCTTCGTCAGCTCTGGAATGATGGGGGCGTTCAACAGTGCTTTCAACGTTCAAGAGAATATCAGTTAAATGACTCGGCACCTTAGTAAGTTTTAATGAATTTCAAATGTTTTATTCATTATCAATAGATAAGAAGTATTTATGAGAAATACCTCAGACGGTATCCTGAAATAACTGGAAGAATAACTAAATTACAGAAATAAAAGCCATTGTGGAAGTACGTCTGCAAACCACGTGGTTAAAACATGACAGATATTGTCACTATAAACAGATTTCTGAACTGAAATAAACATATATTTGAAGTTAACGGGAATTAAGGTCACCATTTTGTTTGAAATTACAGTAATTTGTCATATTTGTTTTCATTTGTCTTTGCCTGGGAAATACAAGGAAATGTGTAACGCTGTAGACGAGGAAATTAAATTTGTCTCATTTATTACTATAATAAAAGAGCAAAATGTCCTAGTAGTTTTCTTGTGCTCGATAAAGCCACTATTCAAAGCGAAGTTCTAGACTCAGAAAATTACAATAGTCTGTTTTATGGACAATATATGTTCAATCATTCACTTATTCATTTGTTCAGTGTATTTTCAGTATGTGTAAATGGCTTCAAAGCAGAATCAAAATTTTGTAACAGAATTGCAGTCTTCAATATGTTAATTGATTGAAGGCGATTTTGGATTTATTTTATTTCTAACTACTAAAACTAATAGTTCCACTATTATGTTGCTTTCCGATAAGTCATTAAAAACATGGACGCTGAGATATTTCAGAAAATATTGTATTAGGACAAAATATGGTTTGTTAACTACCATATCACTCTGATAGTCATAGATCTATTTCAGTCATTAGAATACATTCTAAAAAACATTATAATTTTGAAGCATATTGAACAAGCTCCTTTTTAAAAATGGCAAAGTCATAATAAATGTTTTCAGGTTTTCTAAGTTCGTTTGGATGATCACAAAGTTAACTTAACACAAATGACATTCTTAGAGCAGATAAGGTGTCACTGAATTTTATGTTGAAAATCTCGTTTTCAAAATCCTGAATTCGCAAAAGTATGGTGATCATAACATTGTATATATTTATTATCATTATTTTCCCTTGAATTTTGGGTGGAAAATAGAGCTTCGGCAGCAAATACTCATTGTATTCTACTCTCTACTGTCTTTTTAAGCTTTCTGCAATATTTCCCAAAACCTTTCATATCCTCCTCACACAACCTCTTCCATATCACCTTCGGACATCCAACTTGTCGCTTCCGGTTTGAACTCCACCCTGGGGCGTGATTTCACTCAGCGGTTCGATCCATCTCCATTTCTTTCGACATATTTTTTGAGCAATAGGTTCTTGGTTGGTTAGTTTCCAGTGTTTCTCGTAGTTAATCCTTTCTGGCCATCTGGTATTCAGTATGGAACGAACGAAGACAGATGTTGATAAAAGCCTTCACTCTGTTGAAAATGCGTTTGCCAACATGATTGCCGAAACTGTGATCCACATAGAAGTACTGGCATACTCGACATTGGTGTTGAAAATTTGAATCTTGTTCCTTATGCTAAGTGCATATTATAAACTGACTTCCGACTAATGAAGATCTGTCTTGCGTTTCCGATTCTGCCTTTGGCGACCTCATCTGTGCCCCCTGTATTTTAAATGATGTTGCTTAGATAAGTGAAAGAAGTGACTTCCTCCAAATTTTCCCCACTGATATTGATTGATGCTTATTGACATCAGTTAGGTCTGATTTCTCGACGGTGCTAATATGTAGATAATTTGCACGTATTTTGAAAGCAATATGATTAGAAATAAGAAAGCGAACAACCATAAACAATTTCGCATGCAGCTGAAATCTTTTGCTTGAGCAAGTTCATTCCTTCTTGTTGAAGGCATAAGATATGGGAAGATTATCGATTTTCGATAAAAGGTGTCTGAGCTAATTTTTTCGTGACAGGTGATATAATACAGTCAGCAATCATGACGTTGGACGGAGTGTAAGATAGGAACAGAAAGTCATCAATGAGGTTGTGGAACTTCACTGAATAAGACGTGTGTTAGGCATGCCCAATCAACACCACTGTCGACATGCAGTATCAACTGAAAACGCGCTAGGTTGGAAAAGATTCAGAGGTCGACGGGACAGAATGTCCACAATCTGTTCAGTTCATGACTATTATTTTGAGCCATGTAGGAATGTGTAGACTGTCAGGTTACGGTCTTCAATATGTTGAGAATCAAAGGTTGAACTCTGCATATGATGTGACCCAAAGTAGTTCTCGGTAGAGTAGAGTATTTACTCCTTGAGACTTTCAAGATCCTTTTAACCTCCACCACTCTTCATCTTATTATTTATTCCACCATAGATTTTCACCTATTATGTTTTGATGGCATTTCGTTCTTCGACCTTTGTTTGAGCTTTTAAGATCTGTGACATCTTGATCTGCTGCACTTTACTATCAATTTCGAAGTGGGAAAGTTTAGTTTCTGTTTCAAAGACAAGTTGCTTTTAGGTAATTTCTTAGGAGGTTTAATTATTTGTATGACAATGATTATATTTGTGAAAAAAGAAAGTATAATTCTAATTATATGACCAAAATTTAACCTAGCAGTTTTACAAGATAGATGCTAAGTGGAAATTAGGAATAAAAATCCTTTATGGAGAAATCACAGTGACACTGAGATTATTAGTTGCAGTGCTAGACTAACTTAAAACGGATACTGAAACTGAAATTTTATATATTTTAAAATTAGGTTTTTGAAAATACTTCAGATAATCACGAAATTCAGTTGAATCTAGAATTATGCTTTCCTGGGGACAGTAACAGTTACGTAACTACATTATATCTAATGTGTAATTACTGTTCATTTAGATCCTAATTTACTCTCATATTCGCCCATTTACCATTACTGTCAAGTTTATATCTGGTGCAAAAATTGTTTAGTATTACAGAAAGTATCCAGATGAATAACGGATGAAATAAATAATATATAAAAATACTGAATACATAAGTTGTCATCTTGGTTTTTAACTCTGTAAAGTATCTTTACAACTGAAAAAATGCAAAAAATTACATAGAGATTTCCAAAGGAGACAGGGATTGTCTTTGAAGAGAATATGAACATCAGAAAATAATCAGTGTCAGACTCTCCTTGTCTATTTAACTTAAGGTTATTTTTTGAAACTCTTAGTAGTTGGCGGTCTTCGAAATAAAACTTATTCTGTTGATATTCTCGAAGGTAACATGAAATAACCAAGTATGTTTCCGTTGCTACTAATCTAAAAACCAAAATTTGTTGAAATCATATGAAGATATCAAGTTATCTTAAGTGAGAAAACGCAATTTATATGTGCCTTATTAGTGTTAGATTTGTGTCAAAACCCATCTCAAAATCCCCTCTCTCTTATGTATTTGCCTTTGTAGAAAGTGGAGAACTTTGAAATTATGCCAAGACTTTTCGGTTTTTTCATTTTTTGACAGCTTTTTTAATTCCCTTGATCGACTGGCTAAATATGATTACGTACCAACCGACCAAGATGTATTAAGGACACGGGTCAAAACTACTGGTATTCAAGAAACGCAATTTAGTTACAGAAAAATTGAATTTAGGTAACGTTGACTGGTGATTTATTGTGTGTTTTACCAGCACAGTTTGGAAATATGGCTTGGGGTATATTGTCATCATGGTGTCTGGTCCTGAATAATAGTCGGGTCATGCTTTTGTAGTATGAATAAGTCAGGATAGTGAGTACTATGTGACATCATTTGAAATCACCAAGAATGTGGAGATATTGCTCACTGTCTCGAACACTTGACTTCAGCCAGCTGGATACAGTTTCGAAGTGCTATCCAGCTACTGCAGCGTTAGCGAGAAGATGGTATCATAAATGCCCACAGGATAAATGAAGTTCGTAACCTAACACACGTGAAATGCGTTACAGTTGATTAAGTTTTAATAATTTTTTGCAGCCATATAAAGCCTGCAGTTACATCTTGCCAAAGTATTCCATTGGAAGAAAATTCCAAGTAGATGACTAACCGATAATCACTTTCACATATTCTGGTTTACAGCATACCATTGGACTTTCGAATAGCAATATATTAATTCGAATAACTAGAGTTTCACGAGGATGTATACGCTGATGTCATGGGAATACCCATGAACACTATAGAAATAGCTTTGTCATATTTGTAGGCTGGTTAAATTAGTTATCTTTAATTTTGTTGTGATTTGGATTTACGTGGTCGTTTAGAACAGTATGAATTAGAGTTGTTACGAATTCTAAATCAAACATGTAATTGTCTTACGCTAACCTGATAGTCTCTTATATCTTATTCTTAAAAAAAGCGTTCAGGGACACTATTCTCAAGCAGTACAATTACATATATATATATATATATAATGGATTATCATAGAAACAAAAGAATGTTCCGAAAGATGCGTCATTAACATTTAGAGTTTCAGATTACAATCAAGAAATTCTAAAGCAAAAAAAATTGCTTTATACGGAGCCATTAGTCAGGTAGAAACGAGAGCAAAATTAAGTAGGCTGAGTGACGTAACATAGCTGACAAAACTTGATCGATTTCAACTAACCGTGAAATAAGCCCAACTCAAGATCAATATCATAAGGAGTAGAGACGCAACTGTGGGGAAGAGGAAAAACATTGCGGATCAAATTTCTAGGTAAATTATTTTATTCTCTTTTACCTTCTTCCTAATTTAAAGATCCTAAGTATGCGTCTCGGACGACTGTTCAGTAACTCTTGGCTGGCTATTTCTAAAATTTAAAGTGACGGTTTTCTTCCAATATCCTAGTGAGAAGCAGTGTACCGTGATTTTAATCGGTGTCTATCTTTCTTACTTTATTTGTAAATCGATTTATTTAAGGAACACGATTATGGGATCAAGAAGCAGCTAAGATTTAAATGTTGCAATGAAGATTTAAACCTCAGAGAAGACCATAATTGGTGTAAAACACTAGCTAATTATTTTTCAGATTATTTGTTTTGATAGTTCGATTAATTCCACAACACCTTTGCCATTCATCTAAATAGTTTTCAAAATGCATTGTTTAGATGAAGTGGAATTAAAAAAGTTCACGACTGATTATTTACAGGTGATGTGTTTTGTAATCAAACTTCTGATCAGAATATTTCAGAAAAATCTGAGTGTGTTCACCAGCAATCTGAGTTTCACTTTTGCGTTAGCATTGAATGCAAAGCATATGTATTACTCATAAAACGTTTGTAAATCCGAAGAAAAAACCATATGCAGTGACGTCTTTTTACCACCCAGTATATCCCAACATAGTCCAAATGCCTGCTATTTTTCGGCAGATATTTTCTCATTATATATTAATGAGATACAGAAATCAACTTTTAAACATATTTCCAGAAAATTATTATGATTATTATTTGAGTCGAATTATTAGGTTAGCGATATCCAAATATCATATAATAGGATATTATAATAATAAATGTCTTATTTGTAGAACCGTTTAAACAATAAGCAATTAAGTTAGAAATCAAATATTGTCAACGTCATTCTTATAATGGGACTTGTGACCGGCATATATAGAGTTTAAATAATATCCATTTCGTTCAGTGCATTATTAGTACACTAAACTCATAAAACGGTCTGACGATGATGATTATGAAGATCTAAGTGCCAATCACCTCTATTACCATTAAGTGTTTCTCTGTTTTCAAAATTAAAATAACTAATTCTTATTTTGTTAATATATCTAATAAACACAGACTAGTGGATGTGGGGGGTCAGAGGTCAGAACGAAAAAAATGGATTCACTGCTTTCAAGATGTAACCGCAATCATATTTGTTGTTGCTTTGAGTGAATACGATCTTGGTTTAGCTGAAGACCAAACAACTGTAAGTCACACATTTAAAACGATAGTTAACAATAATAGAGTTATCAGCTTTTAAAACATTAATGTGAACCAATCACCTTCCCTTGAAGCTCATCGATAGTATGGGTTTTCAACTTCTCAGATCACTATCAACTTCCATCCATATGTGGATTAATGTATTACTTACTGTTTAAATATGACCGGTCTGTAATAATTCGGAAAAAGCAAGTGATTCATCCTATAAGTGACCTTCAAACGAAGGAATGATATTACTGTGCTGGTTATTATTATTGTTTCTTCAGTTGATATTGCATAACCTTGGCAGCGTTCTTACAATTATTCATCGTCTGTTATCTACATGGTTCGCGACTATTCATCACTATACGTGGTGAGAAACAGTTTGTGTATTAGAATCCACTTCCCTAAAATAATGCTATGGGATAAAAATAATGATTCAAACCGAGCAGATTGCTAATATGTTACATTCACATTATTGCATTTTAGAGGATAAAGCAAGATACGAGTATAGCCAAACCTGTTCAGCTTTGTGAGATTTAGTAAACCATGAAGTGTAATCACATGAAATCATCGTCAGCATGTTAAAAGATAAAGGCAATGCTTACGTAAACTTTTACTTACTGACAACCACGCTTCGTCACGGAGAGAATGATCTCACCTTCATTAGTAAATGTGGTATAAAGAAGTGCCAATAGTTAGGTCCTTTGAAGTATTCTAGCCAAAAGCTGAATACAGATATCGCTTCTCTGCTAACAGGAAGTCAATTCATGACCATTGGTGGATCAAAGCAAATGCAGCTGACTCAGTCTAATAATGATTTCATCTTCTGATGTACAAGCAGCATTTGAAGTATTTATTTTCACACAGCTAGTTTTTATAGAGTTGGTTTCTCATACAAATTTATCAAACAATTTGTTATTCAGATATAAAGTCAAAAACAAAAACAAACATTTGTTAATAATCGATTAAGAAACCCTATATCTTTATTTATTATTATTATGTAAGCTGCTGAACTGAATACGCTGTAAAACAGAAACTCATTTTAAGACCTTTAAGACTGCAGTGTCATACAAAAATGAATGAAATCAGTACACTAACAATTCATCAGTTTATTTGTGAATTATGCTGGCAATTGAATATTCATCAATCAAAATCTAGCTGTAATATCAAGTTGTTCTAAAATTTAGTCATTGATTTTTTTACTATCAAAACTGAAAAGGTATGAGTGTGAATCACTCTTACTAAAAAATCAATTTTATTCGTTACACAAAAGCCTAGCCAATTTACACCTCACAAATAAAAAAGAGAAACAGACAAAAATGTAGTCGAATAAATATACAAGCAGTTGATCTACTATATCATAGTTACAATTATGGCGTTGAAAGGGTAGTTAAAGTAACAGCAAAAATAGTAAGACTTTATTAGACAATGTTAATTTTGTAATTCAAAGTGGTATACAGATTAGCAGTTATGTATGACCTGAAACTTTTCCTAGTGTGAAACAAGCATCTATGATTGCTCACTTCATAAAGATATACTTTTTATTGAAATAAAGAAACAAAAGAGTAGTGATCCGATTATCGTAGATATTTCACTTTAATTAACTATGTAGAATTAAGAAGCAAACTTTAGAAACAATTAGAACTAGAGTTAAACTGTTTGGTGAAGTTAACCAAATGTAAGTAAGGAAAACTGCATATCCCGAAGAACTTCTTACATGATATACTGCGTGCATTTTTAGTCTCGTACTCTTAGTCACTAACTACCTAAATCCAATTCAGTGTCTTTATTTTGCAAAGTCCCAAGGATTGTTAGATTAATAGTTATATGAGAAGTTGCTGAATTCCTGCTATAAATTATACAAAAACATGCTTCCTGTCGTTCAGTGAGTAACTTAAGCATCAGTTAAGAATGATTTGATTTGCGGAAAAAAGTCTTCACCCTTACCTGTAAACGCAGCAACAGAACAATTTAAATTAATGTAGACAAGTTTATCTTTTAAAGTGTGAAGTATTAAAGTATTGTTTGAACGATAGTATCTCCCTCGGTAAGTTGTTTTTGAAAAGTTGTTTTGGTGGGAAATGTTCCTCTGGACTGAAATCATTTCAAATTTTCTTTCCTTCTCATATTATCTGTTTGATGAGAGGTCATAAATAATGTATAAATAAAATTGTTTAGCTCTTATTTAAAGGGGTTCGTGGCTCAAAACAATTTGCTTTCATTTTTAATAGATATTGACCTATCAACTTATTTGAAATCAGTCTTAGTAGTTAACTCACTATAAAATTACATAACTTAATCTCAATGTGTCTAAAAATTCAAAACAAAATTTTTCAAGTTTCGCTGTACGCACCATAACTTCTCCTACAGAATTTGTTGTGACTTGTTAAGCACTCTGGGGTTACCTTAAGTAATTTCATAATAATTCAATCTGCCTCGGGGCTCAAATCATTCAAGGAGATTCGTAACATCTACGATCTGGATATTAATAGTTTTATGCAGAAACCATTGGCATTTTTCATCAGTCCTTTAGTGTAAGGTTCAAGGGAGATTCTCTAGATCGTTGTTCTGTTTGGAATTGTTTTCGATTAGATAAATTAGCACCTGGTTAAATTTATTTTTCAGGTGGTGTGATGGTTTATTGGACATATTAAGCAGTTAAACAATTTCTTGATTTATTTACTACGCAGAATTGTGTGTTTTCGTGTGATATGCACAGAGAAAAACAAATGCTTGCAGTATAGCCGAATCTCATTTACCCCATTCCCTCAATCAGTTTGAAAATAAATGAATAAAAAATGAAGATAACATTTCGCAAGAGGTAAAAACAAAATCAACTTGACTCACCTATACAACCTGTGCGTTCGTCAGTCTGTTGCATCCAAGTCACCATCAAATGCTTTTGCATTTTAAATTAAATATGACTGAATTTCGAAAGAAATTGGCATGATTATAAACAATAAGTAGTGTTTTAAACGTCATACAGTATATGATAATATTCTACTGTGTGGCGTATATATATATATATTCAACAAAAACAAAATAATTAATTAAAGTGGGTAAAATGGTAGGATGAGATTACATTTGAAGTTCTCCAAAACCCTCATATACATAAACGTAATCACTATGTTGATGAAAGTAATACAAAATGCTCAAGGGAACCTAATTACCAAGGCGAGAAGACAAGTAAAACAATGGGCTGATCACTTTCGAGGACTCTTGAATCGACCATCACCTAAAACTCGCCCAAAAATACCACTGCCACCAAAACAACGCACAGAAATGCCTGCCAGTGGACACCACTCCTCCAATTAAAGAGGAAATCCTGAATGCAATCAAGCTACTGAACACCGGCCTGGAAGGTGGCAGTACCAGATGGCAACCCCCCACCCCAAAGCACTGAAAACGGACCCAGAGACTGCGGCAGATGTGCTCACATCATTACTCCTAAAGGTTTGGAAAGAAGGAAAGGTGCCTACTGATTGGACGAAGGGCTACCTCGTCTAACTGCCAAAGAAAGGCGACTTAGGCCAGTGCAAGAAATGGCGTGGAATAGTGCTCTTGTCCACGCCAAGTGAAACATTAAGTCACGTCGTCCTAGAGAGACTGAAACATTTGCTGGATGAAGAAATACAACGGGAATTAGCTAGATTCAGGAAAGGCAAATCATGTGCTGATCAAATTGCAACTCTACGCATAATCATCATTGAACAAAGCATAGAATGGCGATCAAACCTCTACCTCAACTTGATTGACTTTGGAAAGACCTTCGACAGAGTCGACCGAGAAGTACTTCGGAACTTATTTTAACATTATGGCTTGCAATTCTGAGATCTTTATCGACCTTATTCAACAGCAATCTGTATGAAAGACGTAGCAGCAACAAATTATGGAACAAACTACCTAAAAACCTGTCATTCGATGAATATATATTAGAAACTGTGGTGGGGTTGTGCATATGCTGAGGAGATCGTTGATTTCAGTTGCGCGACAGTCCGTGAAGTCGTATCCGAACGGCTAACGATGAGCGGGTAGTCCCAGGATGACATTGAGTGGATCGTACGGGGAGGAGATTAGACAGTATGGGCAGTCGTCGTCCCATCTGAAGATAACCGCAGGATATAAAACTCAGTGGAGATGTATTGTTGAAGCCCCACGTTTCACTAGAAACCTAAGGGAACGATAACGATGATAATAATGAAAATGTGTCCTAGGTGTGTGCTGCAAATCTATGACTGCACATTGCAAAACGGTATGGTTTGTTGTCATCAGTTTTACATGTATGTATCTGTGTTTCTTGTTATAAGACCTACCTCGTGAAAGATAATGTGACAAGTGGTAATCTAGCTTTGCAGTTGTAAGTATTATTGCCTAATTAAAAAGGGTTGGAGAGAATTTGAATCCTGATCACAGTGATGAGTAGTGAAGTAATTCGAACTAGTAATTTATTTGTAAGCTGACTACTCGCAAACTCTTATCTCTTGACATATTTTCAGAATCGAATGATTGAGTCAATGAAATTATTTGATTCTATATGCAATAATAGTTGGTTCATCGAAACTAGTATGCTTTTATTTCTGAATAAACGCGATTTATTTCAACAAAAGATTTCCACATCTCCACTGACTATATGTTTCCCAGAGTATACTGGTAAGTTACGTTAATTATTTTGTTTTTAGAATATTAATTACTACTTCCGTTTTATATTATTTGTTAGAATAAATCTGCAATAATCTACATTGATTTTTTTCTAGTCTAATTTTGCTTCTTGCACCAGTGAAACATATTCGTAAATTGCGACATTTTTCCAATATGCATATGCTTGTAAAGAAGGTATTATCATTTCTCACTGTTGCAGGATCCCATGAAATGGTGTAATGTACATCCAAAATGTAGATAATTCATGTTTATTTGTTTGTAGGCTTGTGATCATATACATATCAACAGAGAATAATAGTAAAAAGCTGTTGATTACCTTAAATCTCACCTAACATGACATGACTTATTGTCATACCAATCGTTTTAAAAACTCTTGATGACAACTCATTGTCAAAAAACCAAGTTATCCAATAGCGTAATTCAAAATAAATCAGCTGAATTCTGACCTACAATAAAACTAACAGAATTCCAATGTGTATTCAATTAGTGGGCTTTATCTGGACCATTTTCTACGCAAAATAATCTTCATATCTTTGTTTTCCTAATTTTATGAGTTTGAAACATTCAATAGTTCTGATACCTAACCAGTGGCTGTCAGTTCATAATAACAGAAGAATACATTCATGTGCTAGTGAAGCGGCATATAAGGTATATCTACATATTAATTTCCTCCTCGGATTTGTTTTTCTTAGAAGGTTAACTAAGAAGGATTTTTTAACATTGGGGGATTTTCAGTAACTGGTGTCATTTAGGAAAGGTCAGCCCAAATATATTTTTATAATGTTTGAACCTATTGGTACCTGAAAATGTCTTTCATTGGAAGCATAATGTTGAGCTTTCAATTCAAAATATTACTCTGCTACAACAAATTTCAAAAGAAGTCTGGTTAAAATGAGGAAAAAAGTGAGGTAATATTAACTATTATATACTCACTGATTTCCAAATACTACCGAACCGATTATATTATGGAGTGAATATTGTCTTTAGAAAGCTCCTATTTAGATGGAGATATGTGTATCGGAACCAAAAGTAATAAATATTTATTAGGAATGCTGAATTTTTTAAATTTTTTAAATTTATTTTCTACTTTTGTTGGCTTTATCATATTTACTGAAAATGGTTTCATTAGATTTTGAAGTGTGGTTGAGATGACTGCCACATGCTACTACATAGCTTTTCATAATTTACTCTATCATGGATTAGTTATACACAGATATTTCTTAATTATATAGACCGTTTAACGTGAACTGATAAGGTAATATTTTTGCCAAAAGGATTAAGCTGGGATCTTCACTTATCACAACCTGTGAACAATTAACACCTTGTATTCAGTATAATTTCATACACTTAGGTGGTGGACGACACTTACATTTCTTGCCTAAATTTACATTAGGTTCATAATAAATATTATTGTCCTAAGTTTATGTAGTAAGCACAATAATGTAGAATGAGTGAACAAACCACAGTAATTAACCAGTCAGGTGTAAACACATATTGGATTCTCTGAGCCTTCTGGTCTTAGAAACAGGTTCATTGTCCCATAGGTGTATATGTGTGTGTGACCAGGGGGCGTCAAATACTCACGAGTATCAGTTATTATTATTACTTTTACTATTGTTCCCTTGGTTTCCGAGTAGAACTCAATGTATGCCGAATGCGCCTCCACTTTCTCCTACATATTTGTTGGGCGATCGGCTCTTGGTTGGTTTGTTCCCAGCCCAGGTTTCTTGTTTCGTATTCTTTCTGACCATCTGATCTTCAGTATGGAACAAGACATATAAGCGAACAATATTGTTTTCAATTAGATCTTCTTCGGGCTTTATTCAAATTTACCTAGATTTATATGTAAACATTTTGACCAATGACGGTGAATTTGTGGATCAAATAATAATAATACACAAGATGGTAGTAAATCGTAGTGTTAAAGATGTTTTTGAATTTATTGCTAACATGGATAATATCAATGTTAGTGGGAAGCATATGCTTTCCTTAGATGTAGTATCACTGTTTACCAGTGTACCATTTATGGAGACTGTGGAATTCATATGCCAACAGATACTAGAAAAACAGATCGACATCAGAATTCCAGTTATTAGTCTGAAAGAGTTGCTTTCAAGATGTACTATCAATGTACACTTCACATTCAACAACGTTTACTACAGGCAAATCGACGGTATTGCCATGGGTTCTTCACTGGGGCCGATTTTGGCCGATTTCTTTCTTGACAAGATTGAAAATGGTCCATTGAAAAAAGTAGTACAGAAAATCTATTCTTATTTTCGTTATGTTGATGATACGTTTATTATTCTTGATGTGAAAGCTGACAAGAATGAACTGTTAATAAAATTAAATGATGCACATCCATTATTCATCTCCACTTGTGAAGAAGAACATGATGGAAGACTACATTTCTTTGACGTCCAATTGAGCAGAAGAGAAGATGGTTCACTCAAGAGAGATGTCTATAGAAACCTACATCTGTAGGACAATAAGCACATTTCCTCAGTTTTGTACTAATCCGATGTAAAATCAACTTGGTCAGATGCCTTACGAATAGAACAAGACGTATCTTTACAGATGGCTCCCTAAAAATGAGCAAGGATACATCCAAAATACGCTGGTTCAAAACGGTTATCCTAGTAGATTTGTAAGGAGACACATGAACACGAGGTACAATAAAGAAAAACTGACAACAGTTAAAAAGAAACAACTATTCATGAAACTGCAATTTAATGTGGACGTGGCTAGGGAAGTCTTACATCTGAAATTATCGAGAGCGATAAAACGGACTTATACTGCCGCCACCCTTTGTTTGTCATTTTCCAGCCGACGGATTTTGATTGCTCAGGTGAAAGATAAGCTACCTACCTCTGCTACTTCCATGTGTATCTATAAATTTAGTGACTTCTGTGAAAAGAACTAGACAGCTTAACAAATGTATCTTCCTTCATGGTTCGGAAAAGGTCAAATAAAATCCTTTCAAAGTTCTATTTTGGCTCATTCGATTGATAGAGGTTACTAAGTGGAGAAAAATAGTGCCTTCAAAGTTATCCATAGCATTCCATCGAGTCTTTCAAGTGGAATCAGGACCCGTCTTTTACACTTAGCCGAAGCTATGGGAATTCGAGAGAACAATCCTAGCCTTTGCATACAAAAGAAGTTTGTTCAACCTTTGTCTCTCACTTGGCCTAGGTGAATTCTATTCAAAACCCTCCCACCCTTTGTTATCTTCCATCTCCTTCGGACTTTTATGATATTTATTTAAACTCTGATTATATGTCCACTTCACCTTTTTACAATTTGAACTAATTTATTTATTGATAAGTCTACATATACACATATATACATATATTGTCTTTGTTAATCTTATCACCTGCATAAACATTATTATCAATTTATTTTGTTATCATTACAATCATCGTAATTAATTTCGATCAAAACATTTACCTCATTATTATTATTATTATTATTATTATTATAATCATTATTATTATTATATGATCAACAAAATCACCGTCATTGGTTAAAATTTTTATATATAAAATATATGTGAATTAGAGTAAAGCCTGAAGAAGATATAATTGAAGAAAATATTGTTCGCTTGTATGTCTTCAGTATGGAGCCAGCGAAGGAGGAAGCTGTTGATGAAAGTCTGCAACCTGTTGGAAATCCTTTTCGTGACACGCCAAGTTTCTGACCCATATAGAAGAACCGACTTCATATTGGTGTTGAAAATCCGAATCGTGTTGTTTTTGCTGAGTGCGAAAGATTTCCGAACAGGTTTCAGGTTGATGAAACGTATCTTGATTAATGATGCGTAGAGTTGCAATTTGATCAGCACATGATTTGCCTTTCCTGAATCTAGCTAATTCCCGTTGTATTTCTTCATCCAGCAAATGTTTCAGTCTCTCTAGGACGACGTGACTTAATGTTTCACTTGGCGTGGACAAGAGCACTATTCCACGCCATTTCTTGCACAGGCCTAAGTCGCCTTTCTTTGGCAGTTTGACGAGGTAGCCCTTCGTCCAATCAGTAGGCACCTTTCCTTCTTTCCAAACCTTTAGGAGTAATGATGTGAGCACATCTGCCGCAGTCTCTGGGTCCGTTTTCAGTGCTTTGGGGTGGGGGGTTGCCATCTGGTACTGCCACCTTCCAGGCCGGTGTTCAGTAGCTTGATTGCATTCAGGATTTCCTCTTTAATTGGAGGAGCGGTGTCCACTGGCAGGCATTTCTGTGCGTTGTTTTGGTGGCAGTGGTATTTTTGGGCGAGTTTTAGGTGATGGTCGATTCAAGAGTCCTCGAAAGTGATCAGCCCATTGTTTTACTTGTCTTCTCGCCTTGGTAATTAGGTTCCCTTGAGCATTTTTTATTCGTTTCATCATCTGGGTTGATCTCTTCTCGGATAGAGACTTGGTTATCTGATATAATGTCCTTACGTCTCTTTCACCTGCGGCCCGCATATTCTGCTTCAGTCGCCAGCGTTTCGTAGAGTCATCTTTTGTCTTTCTTAGCAATCTTCTTCACTCCTTTATTGAGTACAGTGTACATTGAACTCAGCTTCTCCTTCTCTTGTCCATCAGTGCATTGAGTCATCTTCTCTTTCACCATTCTCCTCTTTTCTATTAGCTTCCAGGTAGGTTTCCGTTGAGAGCCATTCATTGTCATGTCTCTTTCTTCTTCCTAGAACAGTTGTACACATTTCCTTAAATATCGCCTTCAGAGAGTTCCAATGTTCTTCCACGCAGGTTTCCTCAGTGATACCACGTAGTGTGTCCGACTTTGCTCTGATATCTGAAGCGAAGGCACCCCTTGTAGTTTTGTCCTTCAATTTCTGATTGTTGAACTTGAATTGTGGTCTGTCCTCATTTGTTTTCATGGATTTCAGCTTCACCTTGAAGGTTCCTTGAACTAGATGACGGTCTGAGCGTATATCTGTCCCCCTTCTCGACTTTGTATCAAGCAGACTAGCTGCGTCTCCACTTCCTTGAGAT